TTTAAATGCCTTTAGTCGTTAGAACATGACTCGTAGTCCTGACGATTAACTTGAGGTTTTTTTCGATTGGGAATTAAGAGGACTCAAAAGGAGTAACTCATGAAGAACTCCGTAGACGCCCAACTTCGAGACCAACAGGCTGAATTCCATAAGGATCGGCCTCTACAGACCAAATCGCAACACTACGGATCATTGTGAAACAATCAATTGAATGAAATTCATCACTCTACATTAAATTCATTGACTACGAGAAAGTATTTGACAACGTGGACAGGAAAACACTATGAAAGCTTCTTCGACAGTCAATATCATACGAATTCCTATGATGGATTAAACTGCAAAATCGTGCATGGAGGACAGTTGACAAAGTCGTTTGAAGTAAAGGCCAGTGTCAGGCAAGGTTGCTCACTCTCACCCTTTCCCTTTCTCCTGGTGATCGACTGGATCATGAAGACGTCAACGTCTGAGGGGAAGCATAGGATACAGTGGATAGCTAGGATGCAGCTGGCCGACCTAGACCTCGCAGATGATCTGGCTCTTCTATCGCACACATAACAACAAATGCAGGAGAAGACCAGTGCTGCAGCAGTAGGCCTCAACATACACAAAGGGAAAAGCAAGATTCTCCGACACAACACAGCATGCACCAATCGAATCACACTCGACGGAGAAGCTTTGGAGGATGTAAAAACATTTACATAGCTGGGCAGGATCATTGATGAACACGGTGGATCTGATGCAGATGTGAAGGCACGGGTCGATAAGTCAAGAGCAGCATATCTACAATTGAAGAATATCTGGAACTCGAAACAACTGTCAACCAACACCAAAGGCAAAATTTTCAATACAAATGTCAAAACAGTTCTACTGTCTACTGGGGCGGAAAACTGGAGAACTACGGAAGCCATGATCCAGAAGATACAAGTGTTGATTAACAGCTGTCTACGCAAAATACTTCGGATCCGTTGACCAGACACTATCAGCAACAACCTATTGTGGGAGAGAACAAACCAGATTCCGGCGGAGGAGGAAATTAGGAAGAAGCGCTGGAAGTGGATAAGACACACATTAAGGAAAGCACCCAACTGTGTCACAAGGTAAGCCCTCGCTTGGAATCCTCAAGGCCAAAGGAAAAGAGGAAGACCAAAGAACACATTACGCCGGGAAATGGAAATAGACATGAGAAAAATGATCAAGAATTGGATAGAACTAGAAAAGAAGGCTCAGGACAGAGTGGGTAGGAGAATGCTGGTCGGCGGCCTATGCTCCATTGGGAATAACAGGTGTAAGCAATTCGTCAACAACTACCTAACGTGGATGTTACATATAAGCCTTGACCAGCTGGTTGCTAAACTTTTGGACAATGAAAAAAAAGGTGTAAACATGTTTATTAACAATAACAATAAACTAGTGGCCAAAGCTAAAATGCGGAGAAACTGAGCGACTCTTAAGATAACCTTAGAGAGCAGAAAACAGATTTAAATGCCTTTAGTCGTTAGAACATGACTCGTAGTCCTGACGATTAACTTGAGGTTTTTTTCGATTGGGAATTAAGAGGACTCAAAAGGAGTAACTCATGAAGAACTCCGTAGACGCCCAACTTCGAGACCAACAGGCTGAATTCCATAAGGATCGGCCTCTACAGACCAAATCGCAACACTACGGATCATTGTGAAACAATCAATTGAATGAAATTCATCACTCTACATTAAATTCATTGACTACGAGAAAGTATTTGACAACGTGGACAGGAAAACACTATGAAAGCTTCTTCGACAGTCAATATCATACGAATTCCTATGATGGATTAAACTGCAAAATCGTGCATGGAGGACAGTTGACAAAGTCGTTTGAAGTAAAGGCCAGTGTCAGGCAAGGTTGCTCACTCTCACCCTTTCCCTTTCTCCTGGTGATCGACTGGATCATGAAGACGTCAACGTCTGAGGGGAAGCATAGGATACAGTGGATAGCTAGGATGCAGCTGGCCGACCTAGACCTCGCAGATGATCTGGCTCTTCTATCGCACACATAACAACAAATGCAGGAGAAGACCAGTGCTGCAGCCGTAGGCCTCAACATACACAAAGGGAAAAGCAAGATTCTCCGACACAACACAGCATGCACCAATCGAATCACACTCGACGGAGAAGCTTTGGAGGATGTAAAAACCTTTACATAGCTGGGCAGGATCATTGATGAACACGGTGGATCTGATGCAGATGTGAAGGCACGGGTCGATAAGTCAAGAGCAGCATATCTACAATTGAAGAATATCTGGAACTCGAAACAACTGTCAACCAACACCAAAGGCAAAATTTTCAATACAAATGTCAAAACAGTTCTACTGTCTACTGGGGCGGAAAACTGGAGAACTACGGAAGCCATGATCCAGAAGATACAAGTGTTGATTAACAGCTGTCTACGCAAAATACTTCGGATCCGTTGACCAGACACTATCAGCAACAACCTATTGTGGGAGAGAACAAACCAGATTCCGGCGGAGGAGGAAATTAGGAAGAAGCGCTGGAAGTGGATAAGACACACATTAAGGAAAGCACCCAACTGTGTCACAAGGTAAGCCCTCGCTTGGAATCCTCAAGGCCAAAGGAAAAGAGGAAGACCAAAGAACACATTACGCCGGGAAATGGAAATAGACATGAGAAAAATGATCAAGAATTGGATAGAACTAGAAAAGAAGGCTCAGGACAGAGTGGGTAGGAGAATGCTGGTCGGCGGCCTATGCTCCATTGGGAATAACAGGTGTAAGCAATTCGTCAACAACTACCTAACGTGGATGTTACATATAAGCCTTGACCAGCTGGTTGCTAAACTTTTGGACAATGAAAAAAAAGGTGTAAACATGTTTATTAACAATAACAATAAACTAGTGGCCAAAGCTAAAATGCGGAGAAACTGAGCGACTCTTAAGATAACCTTAGAGAGCAGAAAACAGATTTAAATGCCTTTAGTCGTTAGAACATGACTCGTAGTCCTGACGATTAACTTGAGGTTTTTTTCGATTGGGAATTAAGAGGACTCAAAAGGAGTAACTCATGAAGAACTCCGTAGACGCCCAACTTCGAGACCAACAGGCTGAATTCCATAAGGATCGGCCTCTACAGACCAAATCGCAACACTACGGATCATTGTGAAACAATCAATTGAATGAAATTCATCACTCTACATTAAATTCATTGACTACGAGAAAGTATTTGACAACGTGGACAGGAAAACACTATGAAAGCTTCTTCGACAGTCAATATCATACGAATTCCTATGATGGATTAAACTGCAAAATCGTGCATGGAGGACAGTTGACAAAGTCGTTTGAAGTAAAGGCCAGTGTCAGGCAAGGTTGCTCACTCTCACCCTTTCCCTTTCTCCTGGTGATCGACTGGATCATGAAGACGTCAACGTCTGAGGGGAAGCATAGGATACAGTGGATAGCTAGGATGCAGCTGGCCGACCTAGACCTCGCAGATGATCTGGCTCTTCTATCGCACACATAACAACAAATGCAGGAGAAGACCAGTGCTGCAGCCGTAGGCCTCAACATACACAAAGGGAAAAGCAAGATTCTCCGACACAACACAGCATGCACCAATCGAATCACACTCGACGGAGAAGCTTTGGAGGATGTAAAAACCTTTACATAGCTGGGCAGGATCATTGATGAACACGGTGGATCTGATGCAGATGTGAAGGCACGGGTCGATAAGTCAAGAGCAGCATATCTACAATTGAAGAATATCTGGAACTCGAAACAACTGTCAACCAACACCAAAGGCAAAATTTTCAATACAAATGTCAAAACAGTTCTACTGTCTACTGGGGCGGAAAACTGGAGAACTACGGAAGCCATGATCCAGAAGATACAAGTGTTGATTAACAGCTGTCTACGCAAAATACTTCGGATCCGTTGACCAGACACTATCAGCAACAACCTATTGTGGGAGAGAACAAACCAGATTCCGGCGGAGGAGGAAATTAGGAAGAAGCGCTGGAAGTGGATAAGACACACATTAAGGAAAGCACCCAACTGTGTCACAAGGTAAGCCCTCGCTTGGAATCCTCAAGGCCAAAGGAAAAGAGGAAGACCAAAGAACACATTACGCCGGGAAATGGAAATAGACATGAGAAAAATGATCAAGAATTGGATAGAACTAGAAAAGAAGGCTCAGGACAGAGTGGGTAGGAGAATGCTGGTCGGCGGCCTATGCTCCATTGGGAATAACAGGTGTAAGCAATTCGTCAACAACTACCTAACGTGGATGTTACATATAAGCCTTGACCAGCTGGTTGCTAAACTTTTGGACAATGAAAAAAAAGGTGTAAACATGTTTATTAACAATAACAATAAACTAGTGGCCAAAGCTAAAATGCGGAGAAACTGAGCGACTCTTAAGATAACCTTAGAGAGCAGAAAACAGATTTAAATGCCTTTAGTCGTTAGAACATGACTCGTAGTCCTGACGATTAACTTGAGGTTTTTTTCGATTGGGAATTAAGAGGACTCAAAAGGAGTAACTCATATGAATTATCTTCTATATAACATCCATTATAGAGCAATTGTTCCCCCAGTCCACTATTTATTATACCCCATTTAAAACCGTTGTCATGAGTTTTGAGGACACCATTGCAATACTGATACCATTACAACGATAAAATCACTATTTTTCAGTTACTTTTGAATGCATGAAATGGAATCGGCTTTTTGGAAATTAAGCGTACTTCAAACCATAGACCATATATCTGTGCATATAATTCCCAACCAGATGAAGTCTCTATTGATTTGTTGAAAACATGAATACAATTGAGAATCGTGTTGTGTTTTTTAACATATGAATGGCATGACCTATCTATTCATTCCTAGTTAGTATTAAATTGATCATTTTTCAGAAAGAATGAAAGTAGACTGATTTATTTTGTGTCATCCAATTAGTGTCTTCGAAAATGTCAATCACATTAATGAATTGGAAATCCTCAAGGCAAAATACTACCTATGGGATTGTTGAGAGGAAATACTGTATGACATCACTTTCCGAAACCGAGAAAGCTGTATTCCTGGTCAGGAAAAATTCCCATAAAAAGTTCATCGTGATTCTGTAGCGGAAAATATACTCTAGATGTAAGACAGAATTAACAAAAGTCAGGAAGACTATAATCGATTGACCAACCAACCAGATTTACGATGACAGATCTTAGATTTCAGAGAGAAATTCTCCATCCGTCTGGCCAAATAGCGTTTTGGAATTTTAGCTGATGCCAGTTCGTGTTGAAAACCATGATTCTAATTCCTAACCTTAACCAATAACTGTAAGTTATAATCCTTATACTTAACACAGGTTTAAAACCTTCATTTAGCCCTAGTATGTAGGTGAACATTCTCAAGGCAACTTCAGCGTCGCTCAAAGGTCGCCCATAAATTATGGTCTCACCAAACTAATCTCAAACTAGGTATATTACATGTTCCCACCATCGATCCCGTAAGGCTAATAGAGTAAAGTCCCGTCATACATACCTCTTAAACAACACAAGGCCCTCGACCTTGAACTGTTGAAGGATGAACTGGGTCGTCCACTTCAGTTAACAAATGGACTGAAATAATAATATACAACGAATGGACAATGAATGACCACAAAAAGAAAAATTGGAGAAGCGGGACGAAAAGTAATAGTTTAAAACAGTTTCAGCACTGTCAAATGGAAAAAAGAGTCCTTTCGAAATAGTTTCGTGCATCGTTCAGTAAGTACGGTCAATTCAATCCCTGGTTTTCTACCTCTGTCGCATTTACTGCTCGTCACTCTGAAAAAGACAGAGACTCTCGACTCCAGGGGTTCGGTTATTTGAACCTTTTCCAACAGTTCACTGTCTCTTCTTACATGGGGCTAGTTGCTTATAGGTAGCACTTCTATCTAAGACGAGCAAACACCGTATACCAAGTCGAAAAGGTCTAAGCATTGATATGACTCAAGACTCAACACACTCACCATAGGGATCTAAAACCCGTGGCGGCTAGCGTATGGTAGTTTGGGGTCGTTTTTTATTTTTTGACAAACGATGACTCATAGGTCTCTGTGTGTTAGGACAACAGGTACAAATGCTATACACGAACGAATAATAGATGAATGATAACTGCTCTGAATTGTTCATGGACTGTCATTAAATATATTTCTATTGAGTAATAATTAAGTAACTAGATTATGTATATATACATATTCCGTTTTATCAAAATCGTCCATTTGACCTATTGGCTATTGTTAACGTATTCACAGTTTATTCTTCTTAGTATATCACACACAAACCCACTTTTGGATCGGTCTCGTATAATTATTACTTTTCATTCTATGGTGTGATACAGTCTAGTTTGTCTGTATAAAAACCACGTATATCTGAAATATACGATTCACATATCGCAGACCGATATTTGTGTTCTGGACTGGACGGACAGAGGACCGATTAGGCTCAGAGTTGACTCAACATTGCTGGTGCTGGTCGACGCATCACTGGTCTAGCACAGAGACAACGTCATGGATGTTGGTATTCCAATTAGTGAGTTTGCTAATAACAATCTTAATACATTTGAAAGCAGTTATCATTGACTGCCGAATTCCAGATCATTAAGATAATCTCTCTAGGTTAGTTTAAAGGTCTGAACTATTGCCATCACTTTTTATAGCTCTTTATCAGAAGCCTTATTGAAGTCAATGTAGGCTACATCTATGGGTTACCTTCGGTCTTTAAGAACGCATCAGATTTCCTGGGCTACCAATACTTTTGTGAGACATGAACAAACCATTATAAATCCATACTACTTTCAAGAAAGGATCAATTTTTCGCTTAAATACTTGAATAATCCCTTCCACATAATCTCTAAAATTTAAACAACCACCCTGGTTAAGCTTACAGTTCGATAACCCTCAAGTTTATCTCGTACGTATTTTGAAAACAAAACTTACTATGACGTTTTTCTACTTCGGGTACAGATAAATTAAAAAGTATACTTAAAGGATCGGCGATAACATTTACCGATTCCTCTAGCAACTTAGAATACGTATTATCTGGTCCCATGGATTTGCCTATATCGAGCTTATTTAGCAGACTGAAGACATAGGGTTCGTTAATGATCACGGTGCCCAGAGTGTGTAGTTGGGGTTGTACGAACTTACGAATACCTGGCCGTAGCTATGATCGTCCTCCACTATTGCCTCCCTATGATGTTGAGATGCCGCATCTTATCTTAGTCCTTTGATCTATGTACTAGTATGAGTTCTCCTTCATATCATCTTCTAGACTTGCGAAAGACTGCGAAACAGATGTTTCAAGTTCCTCAACATTTAAATCTTGTAGCATCAGTACCCAATGTCCTAAATTTTTCCTACATTATTTTCCTCTTATATGGATGGGTTAAAATATTCTTTAATTCTTTAATCATGAAATGTATCTGTGCGAACTCCTTTGTGTAGTCCAATGCATGTACGGTGCACTACATTTATATAAAATTTCCGAATACCTTCCAGGCCGTTTCAGTGGGCGATTCTGATCATATTTTCTAATTTACTGTAGATTCTGAATGAGTGATTTGTCGTATATTTTCTTCCTAAAAGTTTGGTATGAATTGGGGTGACACGCCTTTGTTGACGACGATATGGAAATCAGGGACTAAAAAATCATGACACTCAAATTTGAAGTTAGACATGAACACCGTTGGAGGCCAGCTCAGTGGTGTAATGGTTAAGTGCTCGCGCGCGAAGCCAGTAGGTCCTGTGTTCGAATTCTGCGGGGTGCGGGATCGTGGATGAGCACTGCTGAGGAGTGCCATACGAGGACGAAACAGCTTTCCAGTGCTTCCAGGTATTCAATGGTGGTCTAGCTTCAATTGACTCGTGATTTCAATCTATGAAAAACTCTCACATTTCTCTGTCAAACGATGGAGTTTTGTGGCAACATCTGTTTATTGGGTAATTGTGAAATTTAAGAAGAATGATTATGAGTTCGAGTCGTACCTAATTGATTCCTTCACAATTTGCACTAGGCGTCATGTGTAACCCTGCCAACCAGTTTCTGTTCATAACAGTCTTCCAAATCCGCGGACCTCAGATTTTTACAGTCTACTGTAGGTGCTTTAAGGTCTCCTAAGAAGAAACGTCGACTACTTGACGACCAAGTGTCGAAACCGTCTAGTAAGACCTCATTCATCTCACAGTTGGGACTGTGGTAGACCGAACCAATTAGCAGTAATCTGCGTTCCAGTCGAAACAAATAATGAAAAAGGACATAGTATATGGTCTACTAGGAATTTATTTATCATTAACAAGCAAGTAACATTTCTAATTTACATGTGTGTTTGATTTTGAATACATGAAACACATTTTAATGTGCTTTACGTGAATAAGAATTTTACACACTAAATACTTAAATTTTGATCCTTTATGAAAAATTCGGTACTCAGTATCTGTTTAAAACAAATAAACTACCAACTGTAGTAATTTAAAGCTACTTCAGGTCTTAAGCTCCGGTAAAGGATGAGGGTTGGGCATGGGGTCAGCATCACCATCCCGTAGAAAACAACCTTGCTATAAACAAGCTAACCAGAATAAACAAATTAAATCATTTAAACTCTGCCCTCAGAGTTGAAGGAAGAATTATGATGCCTCATGGTGAAAACTGATATTTCTCAGTAGTCACAAGGTCGATAGCTTTTCTAACAACCAGAGCAACAATTAGTATAGGTACATAGAATGTCCGGACAATGTGAGAGACCGGGAGGATTAACCAAATATCTGGGGAAACGAGGAGACACGAGTTGAAGGTGTTCGAAATCAGTGAAACCCGTTGGACAGAACCAAGCTGGGCAGAAAATGATAGGTTCAGGAGAGATGCTACTGTGTCGTGGTCACGAAGAAGAAAATGCTTCGCACACAGGGAGTTGCCTTGATGCTGTCCAAAGAAGCATGTAAAGCACTTATAGGATGAGAATCTCGTAGACTCAGGATCATCAAAACATCTTTCAAAACAAATGAGGGAATCACAATGAATGTTATCCAACGTTATGCACCCACCAATGATGGCAACGACAACGATAAAGATCAGTTTTACGAGAGGCTGTAATCTCATAGCGAAGTGCTCATGAAAAGGAGCATTGAAGCAGACAATCAGAAATACATGGAAGAGCTGCAACAGAAGAAAATATCAGACAACTATATGATACAATGAAAAAACCGACAGGGAAATATAGTAAACGAGAGAGACCAGTCTAGGACAAAGAATGAAAGCCAATCACTGAAACTGAAGAACGGATGAATAGATGGTAGAACTTAAATGAAAGTAGAGTCCAAACACTTGAATCAGTACGCGATTTAGGAATTAATTACACAGGAAGCCTGAACTTTGAAGAACATGCCTCTTCTATTATTTCTAAATCTAGACGGCTAATTGGCTTTATAATGAAAAACTTTTTCACAACAGAGGGTAAACTTACTCTCTACAAAATATGTGTAAGACCCTCGCTTGAATACTGCTCTTTTGTATTCTCTAATATGAATATCACAGACAAGATAAGAGTAGAAGATGTTCAAAGACGTTTCACACGTCAACTACTAGGATGCAACTCGAATCTTGATTACGCAGACAGATGTAAGCATCTATCTTTAGAACCTTTATGGCACCGTAGGCTAAAAAACAATTTAATATTTCTCTACAAAGCGATATATGGGCTCTCCTTTCTAACCTCCTGCCCGACTATCACCCACGACCCAGCCTATAGACTTAGAAACAACGCATATACACTACTTACCGTAAAACACCAAAAACAAATACGTTGTAAGTTCTTTACAGTACGGTACAGTTTATTGTGGAACAGGCTGCCAATGCCTATCCGTAATTGTGATACGTTTATCAGATTCAAAAGGCTAATAACCCTATTTCTAGACTCCAAAGAGCTTCAACATTTCCTTGAACTCCCGCCCACCAATGAGGCACTTTATTACGGACCGCCTAGTATCTAGAAAGAACAAAATTATAACAAGTCCGACTGTTACTAATATGAATATAACCAAATCACAGAACATATGGCTTATCCTTTCCTATTATTCATTGTTTATTAATCATGACTTCATGCTCCTAACCCTAGCTTTCAGTTCCCAAATCTCTACAGGTTAAATGTACATTATTCTTCCTAAAAGTCATGCCTTTTTTTTATTCCACTGCAAGTAG